CCACTACTAACCACGAACGATCTTTGCTTAAAGAGCTTGTGACTGGGCTATATCGAGGCAATCCGTACAGGATGTATATATGTCAACAAGAGACTGATCAATTGCAGTCCTAAATAACAATGGGAAGATACAAGTAAAATATATTTAAAAGTATCAACAACTTCCCTCTGAGGTAGTGTAGCATATTATTGTGTTCTCTAGTTTATAAGTAACATTTATCGATCGCTGCAGTGACAAGTAACGACGTACAGACGGCCTAGAGTCTCGATTGGTCCCGCTTCCCTGTCTAGCCCAGCCAGTTGAGTCCAGAACACAAATCTCAGCCTCTGAGTTCTGAATCATTATATTTCAGACATACTCTATTTATATACCAATCAACCAGACTACATCGTACCATAAAATAGAAAACAACATTTGTGCAATATTTGACAAGTGGAATAAATACTGACCAATAGGGAGTGTACATTTAAAGTCCAAGGCCTCCATTAGACTTAACATGATAATTATTGCCATATTTTTCTGCACATCCTAACAGTTAAGTTGCCTACTAGTACGCCCGATATAGCTATTTCCACAGGAGCAGCTAAATTTGTAAACTCAGGTAACTTATCCTTCGTTTGCGTAGACATGAGTGATTGATAAGAGAAAGTCAACACAAGATTGGCTGCGTAGAATGTCCTTGTGATTACTTTCGTTAACCTATATTTCAGAGTATCACTAGCCACATCCCCGTTGAATTGTAGTTTCATGTATGAAAATTTCTTACAAACAGTCGAAATCTCCGACTTCTTTATTTTATCATACATGTACTTCTTAATGAAAGCACTGGGGTAGCCGATCTCAGTCAGCGAGTTGTTGATGAATTCAAGCTCCTGACTTAGAGTGTCTACTGTACAGAACTTTTTTATTTCTGCTAGTGAGACATCTAACCATATTTTTCTTGTAGCATAACCAATCAAAAAATGATGTTAAATATAATTATTTTACTATTTTAAATACAATCAACCGTTCAATCAAGTTCCTCATTCATTTTTTAAAAATATTTTCTACTTTATCATAGGAACCAATAAGATCATTACTTACACAATGTTGTCTTGAATCATCATCAGCTCAACTGTCAAAATTCTATTTAGACAAATGTATGAATGAATTTCGCGTCTGTTATCCTAAATCTGATAGGTTTTCATCCATAAATTATAGTCTTGTCAAATATTCAGTTCCAAAACTACAATAACCCATATGAGCTTGACATAATACTCTAGACACAACATGACAAATCCAAAAAATAGTGATGTTAAATATAATTATTTTAATTTCACAATAGTGCACGCAGTGTCGAGTCACCAAGGCTGGTGACCACATTGCATCATGGTCGATAGCATTCAATCTGCACTAAATAACGACTTGACACATATGACATCATTGATCACCATCCAGTGATAAATCAATTGTGATAATTATTTTACTATTTTAAATACAATCAAGTTCCTGACTCATTTTTTTTTTAAAAAAAAAATATTTTCTATTTTATCAATAGGAACCAATAAGATCATTATTTACACAATGTTGTCTAGAATCATCCACTGTATTATGTTGTCGTTCAACACCATTACAAAAAGCTGAAGTTATACGTTTAATTAAAGAAAGTCGTAAAACAATACCAATTACAGCTGCAATTGGTGATGGTGCCAATGATGTATCTATGATATTAGAAGCACATATTGGTTTTGGTATTTATGGTAAAGAAGGTCGGCAAGCAGTACGTGCATCCGATTATGCATTTGGACGTTTTCATTATTTAAAAAATGTATTACTTGTACATGGACATTTATATTATCAACGTGTCTCTTTATTAGTATTATATTTTTTTTATAAAAATTTAATATTTACATTACCACAAATGTTATATAGTTTCTATTGTGTTTATTCACAACAATCTATATATCCACAAATTTATTTAATTTTATTTAATTTAATTATGACATCATTACCAATATTTTTATATGGAATCTTTGAAATCTCTATACCGATATCAATTTTATTAGAATTTCCTATTTTATATCAAAATATAGCTAGAAATTATATTTTATCTAAGAAACATTTTCTTATATGGATTAGTTTAGCTTGTTGGCATGCATTTATTATTTTTTTTGGTACATATTTTTTAAGTTTTCAAGGTCATGCAAATGATCATGGTCATTCTAAATTAAGTAATTTAATATGTTTTGGTAATTTTATTATTTTGATTATATTTCTTGTTGTAAATATTAAAGTACTACTAATAAGTTACTACTTAAATTGGATTATATTATTAATATGGAATTTAGCAATTATTATAAATATTTCAATTTTTTTAATATGTAATAATGTATTATTTCCTACAGAACTTGGTAAACAATTATATGGTACATATACAATTATGTTTACTGGGTCTGGTTGTGGTTTAATATGGTTTAGTATATTTTGTATAACATTATTAGCATTAATACCTGATTTAATTATACGTACTATTGATGATCAAAATTGGCAATGGAAATTAAATCATTTAAGAGATGAATTAAAAAAGAAACAAAGAGAATCGAAAATGCATACAAGAACATCAATTCGAGTATCAATTATGTCAAAACAATATGATGAATTAGATGATATTGAAGAAAAAGATGAAGTGAGTTTATTATTATAGATTGTTAATATTAATTTTTTTTTGGGGGGGGGGAATTAGCATTCGATCTGCACTAAATAAGAACTTGACACAAATGATATTGATCATCACCCAGTGATCAATCAATTGTGATTACATCTCAGTCCTACAGGAGGTCGGTCGTGGCTCAGATAGCTCAGTGGTAATGTCTGTGACTGTGAAGCTGAGTGATACGGGATCGAATCCGACAGGGAACACCAGTTCCCTCAAGATTACAGGTACACCTTTCTCACGAGTGCTAAGTTGCATGAAACTCGGGTTCAGGGTTTCCTGTTGACTACCTCCAACCACCATCTAATCTCAATATATAGTGCACGCAGTGTCAAGTCACCTAGACTGGTGGCCACTTTGCAACATGGTCGATAGCATTCGATCTGCACTAAATAAGGAGTTGACACACATGACATTGATCACCACTCAGTGATTGAATTAGTTAATCTTAATGTAATACAATATGACATGTTTATAACATCGAACTACTGTATTTCACATGGACGAACTTGATAATACATAAGACAAATGAATATATTATGCAACAGACTGAATACACTAGATCACTATACTAGATGATAAAATAATCAGTTAGACTACTAGAATAGATCATGTGATACACACTTCTGATCCAACAGTTTACGATCATATAAAGCTGAATAATGGTTTATAAAGCAACATGTTACGTTTAAAAAGTAGTCTATATATATTTATTAGAGCTGGAAATGACTTTCTTTATTCAGTCATCTATCACTGCTTGGAATATAATCAATCACACATAAATAAACACTTTTATTTTATTAATGATCATTATTCAAGTTATAGTGTTGGGTTCTAACTTGTCACGAAATATATCGTAGACTGAAACTTGTTAGACAACCAATGAAAACCAAGGATCGTAAATGGACACTTATATCCTGAAAGCTTGAGTTACACGAAAGAAATCTAACATCGTTGTAGTTGGTAGGTTTCTATTCATCTTGTAGATGACTTTGAATAGTAAATCTGTTTCGATTGAAACGACTTACAAGGTATTTAGTTATTAAGGTTCTTACCCATTCACTATTGTCTTTTTTCAACTGTTATGGATAATATTTCTGAACTCTCTTGGATAGAAAACTTATCGAAGGACTGATATACCTAAATCCACAAAGACAAATGAATTATTAAGTATACACGTAGTGAAAAATGAACACAATTTATTCTTTAGGTTTTCATTAAATATAACTCGAGTGAATATTTATAACCCAAAGGTTGATCTGCACTTTTGTCACCCTTAAAATCAATACTTTTATAAATCATTCTCTTTTAAACATAACTTATTGATTATTTTGGGGATCTGAGGTTCATATTCTCGTCAGCAAATCTCGACGGTATTTTTTTTCTTACAGGGGTAGATTTTTCGTCTATGATATCATGACTGCAAATTCATTGGCTTTGTCTGACAAGACATAAATAAATTCCTCTTTC